TAAAAATTTTTTATTGAGGAGTTGGTTCATGTACACAATACATCTTAATTCTTTTTTTCAATCCCCTTCCTCTCCCTCCTCCATCTCCTGGTCCCCTCCCCTTTTGGGTCCCCTTCCTCTATTATCTATCTTTTATTTTGCTGTTTAATTATTTATGCTCTGGGTTTCTCATATAAGAGAAACCATGGGATATTTAAGCTTGTGTGTCTAATTTATTTCACTTAACGTTGTGGTGTCAAGGTGCATTCATTTTCATGATTCAAATTTATCATTCTTTATGACACAGTAGCACTCCATTGTGTATAAATGACCCATTGCCTATTGATTCATTTGTTAATGGACATAGAGTCCCATTCCAAGTGCTAGCTACTATGAGTTGTACTGCTAAAAACATGGAATGCATGTATCATTGTAATATGATTTTAATTCTTTTGGGAAGATACTGTACCTAGAAGTGGAATAGCTAGATAAATGGAATTTCTATTTTTGGGTTTTTAGGGAAACTCTCTACTGACTTTCATAGTGATTTTACTAGTCTACATTCCCTCCAAGAGAATAGAAGTTTTCCTTTTTCTCTGCAGCCTCACCAGCATTTATTATTATTTGATTTCTTAATCATAGCCATTTTTTCTGGAGTAGAGTGGAATCGGTGTTGTTTTAATTTGCATTCACTAATTAATGGCTAGAGAGGTTGAACACTTTTTCTCATGTATTATATTTACTGGTCATTTGTGTCACTTTTTTTGAGAAGTGTCTATTCATTTCAGTTTTTATTGAGTTTTTAATTTGGGGGATCTAGTATTTTGAGTGCTTTATATATCTGTGTATTAGTCCTCTACCTAAGGAATATCTGGCAAAATGAATTTCCTCATTCTGGAGGTTGTCTCTTGTTTGATTGTCTCCTTTGTTGTGTAGAAGCTTTTCATTTGATATGACCCCATTGGTTGATTCTTGGTATTATTTCTGAAACATTTGGGCTTCTGTTCAGAAAGTACTTGCTTATGCCTATGTCTTTTGAGTTTTACCTATTTTATCTTCCAGCAAATTAAATGTTTCTGTTTTAACATTTAGATCTTTGATCCACTTTGATTTTAGTTTTGTACATCATGAGAGATAGGGGTCTAGATTCAATCATCTGCCTGTGGAAAACCAGTTTTCCCAGCACTATTTATTAAAGAGGCAATTTTTCCTCCAGTGTATGTTTTTGGCCTGTTTGTCAAAGATAAAATAGCTGAATGTGCCTGGAATTGTTTCTGCATCCTGTATTCTGTTCCATTGATCCACATGTCTGTTTTTGGTCAATATTATGCTGTTTTAACTATTGTAGCTTTGTGTAGTATACCTTGAAGTCCAGGATTGTGATGCCTCCTGCTTCGCCCATGTTGCTCAGGTTTGCTTTTACTATTTTGGATTTATTATGGATTTTAGGATTATTTTCTCTACATCTGTGAGAAATGCTATTACTACTTTGACTGGGGCTGCATTAATTCTGTGTATCAGTTTTGGAAATATAGCCATTTTGGCAATATTGCTTCTGCCTATTCAAGAGCAGGGATATATTTCCATTTTCTGATGTCCTCTTCAATCTTCTTCAGAGGACTGTAGTTTTTGTTGTAGAGGTCTTTAACTTCCTTGGTTAGGTTAATTCTTAAGTATTTAATTTTTCTTAATGCAATCGCTAATAGTATTATTTTCCTAATTTCTTTCTCAGTGAATTCACTATTAGCATACAGGAACATTATTGATTTTTGAGTGGTGATTTTGTATCTTGCTATGTTACTGAATTTAGTTATTAGTTCTAGGAGTCTTTTGGTAAAATTTTTTGGGTCTTCTATGTAGAAGATCATGTCAACTGCAAATAATGTAATTTGACTTCTTCTTTTCCTATACATATTCCTTTTATTTCTTTCTCTTTCCTGTTTTTCTGGCTAATTAGATTTCAGCTTTTCCCTATTTACTATGATGTTGGCCATTGATTAATCGCAAATGGCTTTTATCCGATTGGGGTAAGGTCCTTCCAAAACTATTATTACCATTAGGGTTTTATCATGAATGGATGTTGATTTTGCCAAAGGCATTTCTGTGTCTATTGAGATGATTCTGTGATTTTTTTAAACTTCTATTTATGATGTTTTACATTTATTGATTTGTGTATGTTGAACCATCCGTACATCCCGGGGATAAATCCTTTTTGGTCATGATGTGCTATCATTTTGATTTGTTGCATTCTGTTTGCCAGGATCTTGTCGGAGATTTTTGAGTCCTATGTTCATTTAAGAGATTGACCTGTACTTCTCTTTTTCAGTTGGGTTCTTTTCTGGTCTTGGAATCAGGATAAAGCTAGCTTCTAGGAATGACTTTGAGAGTACTCCCTTTCAATTTCATTATGGGGTTTGATGAGTATTGGCATTAGATCATCCCTAAAGTTCTTGGTAGAATTCAGTAGTGAATCCATTGACACCTGGGCTTATTTTGTTGGTAGGTTCTTTTTTTTAAACTGCTTCAATTTCATTACCTGTTATTGGATTATTGATTTTTGAGTGTTGATTTTGTATCCTGCTATGTGACTGAATTTGGTTATTAGTTCTAGGAGTCTTTTGGTAACATTTTTTGGGTTTTTATATCTTCATGGTTCAGTTTTGGTTATTCATATATATCTAGGAATCTATCCATTTCTTCTGGATTCTCCATTTATTAGAGTACAGTTTCTCAATGTAGTTATTAATAATCTTCTGGATTTCAGTGGTGTCTGTTGGGATTTCAAATTTTTCATTTCTAATTGTATTGATTTGGATCTTTTTTGTCCTTTTTTTTGGTAAGATGGCTAAGGGTTTATCTATTTTGTTTATTTTGTAAATAACCAACTCTTTGATTCATTGAGTCTTTGTATCTTTTTTATCTCAATTTTATTAATATCTGCTCTGCACTTTATAATTTCCTTTTCTGTACTAGCTTTGGATTTGGACTGTTCTCATTTTTCTAATACCTTGAGGTTCATCATTATGTTATTCATTTGGGCTCACATTGTTTTTCTGAGGTGAGTGTTCACAGCTCTAAACTTCCTTCTCAGGACTACTTTCATTATGCTCCATGAATTAGGGTATGTTGTACTGGCATTGTCATTTGATTCTAGGAACTAATTTCTACCTTGATTTATTCTGTTTTCCATTGATTATTCAAGAGAGTATTACTTAATTTCATTGTGTTTACATAATTTCTTTGGGTTTTTTGCCATTTATTTCTAGTTTCATTGCAGTATTATCTAATATTATGTATGAGATAATTTCAATTCTTTTGTATTTATTTATGCAAACCAGTTCTATGCTGGCTTAGTTACTCACTATTTGCCCTTAGGCTTTGAAGGTTAGTATCTTCATCCCTAACATAAGCATATTAATAAAATCTGTTATGCAAGATTGTGTTGGAATTAGAAAAAAAATAAACAAATTGGAACATATTGGGCAATCAATAAATAGTGACATTTGATTAGAAATATTTTGATGCCAAATCTCATTTACATTGTTTCCTTTATACACCTGTATTTAATTTTTGTTGAGTTCTAGTGGCAGAATTGGAATAGAGCATCTAAAATAATTTCTTTTTGTACCAGGGATTGAACTCAGGACCTTGCGCTTATGAGACAGGTGGCAGAACCACTGAGCTAAATCCCCGCCCTAAAATAATTTTAATGAACCCTTTTTGTTTATTTTCTTTTAGGACTTTCAAACGTCTCAGAAAAAGGAATTCAAATTGACAAATCAGGATAGAGCTGCAAGAATCATTCAGAGGGCCTGGAGAACTTTCCTTGTGAGTTAATTTAGCAGCTTTATTGAGATTTAATTTCTGTCATAAAATTCATCTGTTTAAAGTATACAACTAATCTTTTAGTACATTTACAGAATTGTGTGCTACCCTTTGCTTTAAAAGCAATCTAAGTTTCAAAAAGATACAATTTATTATTTCATTAGCTTCACAAATATTTATTGAGCTCCTGAATTAGGCCAGGCACTTTGACAGTGGCTACTAGCAATAAAAGTATGATTAATAGGCTCATTTGACTTTCACCTCTTAAATGCTTTTGTTAGGGATATATTTACTCATTTAAATATATATTGAGTCCATACTCTTGAGGAACTTAAAGTTTAATAACATATTGTATGTGGGTAATAGTTACTTATTGTGTGTTATATGGATAGAGCTGGTCTCATAAGTATAAGGAACATTCCAAGTACTTAACCTGGTTGGGTGAGAATGAAGAGCTAAAGTGACTGCACTGTTCCCCTCTAATAACAGCAATACTCTGTGTATAGTGAGGTTGGGTGAAGTTGGATAGCTGTTTGTAGCACACAAGGCCACAATTGTAGCAGTTAATGAAATCTTGAAAATCTTCCATTGTTTACCTCTTCTCCTTCTACAATAGCTATAAAACCTATGCTGGGGCATAATTATATGGACTTCAAACATTAAAATAGTAATTTTATTTTAAAGCTGTTTCTTCTTTTGTTGGTGTCTATCAATATGCTCATCATCTAAGTTTAAACTTTACCATTTATAAATTTTCTCCCATATCCAACTCACTGCACATCTTTGAATACCTATCCATTCCTGGCACTGCTCGGCATTTTACAATATAGCCTTATCCTTGAACTTCAGTAGAGAAGCAATGCACAAGTATATATTTTTAAAGGCATATATGGATTGGTAGACTAAGTGCACATTTTCACCTTCTATCGCAATAAGGTCCCCTTGAAATTGACAGTATGTAAATAACATATCCACAACACAGAAGGGGGTTCATAATCAGTTAGAAATCTTACCTAATTCTGGAAAACTAAAAATAAATGAAACTGGGTAGAAACACTTGCCCAGACATACTTCAAGGGGCTCTGGTAAAGGAATTGCTTCGTCACTGGAATGCCAGAAAGGATATGAATTTGAAGTCAGCAATTTAAAAAGGTTACAAGGAAGACTGAAGACAGGGGTTAACTGGACACCTAGACATGGAACTGCTTTGGCTGTTGTCTCCACTGTCCCCTCCAGACCCAGAGGTACAGGTAGATAAATATTTACCTATGTCAAAATTTTGCTGGTAGATGAATATATAACATTAGGCAAACAAGCACAAGTATGAAGGCTTTTTTTTGTGTGTGTACCGGAAATGGAACTCTGGACCTTACACTTTCGAGGCAGGCAGTGGTATCACTGCGCTAAATCCCCGGCCCTTGAAGGCTTTAAAAAGGAAGGAGGGTCCGGGGATTTAGCTCAGTGGTGCTGCCGCCTTCCTCGAAAGTGCAAGGTCCCGAGTTTGAAGATCAGTGACTATATAGGAAAGGTACGTCTAGCGTGGATTTGGCACTCAAAAGTAAAACCTTGCCTGACCAGCCGACGATTGGTGAGGACCTTGGCGTGTGGAGCCCCGCTCCCTCCCGACGCCCACCCCCCAGCGAATAGCCAAGCAGGAGCCTGCAGCAACACCGTCCCCGACCCCTACCCGCTACCTGGTTCCACACTACAGAGGCACAGGAGGTCATAAAGGTCATTGTCCTGAGCTCCAGAAGACAGAGCAGAAGTGAACAACAGAAAGAGGGCCTCTCTCAGGCTCCTTGATGAAAACTGAACCCTACTGGAAAAGTAAAGAGAATCTATGCAATAAAGGCACACCAGAACACCTTACTTGGTAAGTTGGAGGGATCATCACCTCACATCAGAGCCTGGACTATCTTCAGGGGAAAGGCAGCTGGAACGTGCAGTAGAACCTTGCAGAATTCAACCCTGCAGGAGTACAGAGAGCTCAGCTTGGGACTTGCAGCCAGATATCTGCCTGAATCTCACTGGTCTGCTGCTGGCTTGCTGAGACTCATTGACTTATATCTGCACACTGCTGCCCACATTGTCTACTGTGACAGCAGAGACATACTCTCAAGGAGGCCCCTCATTTTTATTTTTTATTTGTTTTTTTTTTGGTTTTTTTTGGTACTGGGGATCAAACTTGGGTTCTTGAGCTTCCGCAGCAGGCGGCAAAACTACTGAGCTAAATCCCCAGCCTCATTTTATTTGTTATTTTTTTAAAAAAATTTTCCTCTTTTTAATTTTTAATTTTTACTTTTTTCTACTCTTTTAAAATTTTTATTTTTCTCTTCTTTTTTTCTTACTTTTCTCTTTTCTTTCACTCATTCTCTCACAGTCCCACATGGTTCTTCATCTCCCTCTTTGTTCCAGTTCTGGCCCTAATTTGGATTTCTTCTTTGTTTTGCTTCTTCTCTTTTTCCTTCTCTCGATTGTCATTAGTTTTAAAGTAAAGAAAATACAGTTTCTAGCCTCCCTATTACTGTTAGGTTGTTTTGTTTTCATCTTTATTCTTTCAATCTCTCTTTTCCTCTTATCTTCAACAGTTTGTTAGAGTTTGCATGATCTTCCTGTGTCCTCTGGCCTCACTGCTAACTGTTCCCTATCCTTCTACCTGTCTATCCCTCCCTCCCCAACTTCTTCTAACTCCCCATCGTGAGGGGTAAAGCTGCTATATTGAAGAGTTTATTCACTGTAAACATATGTTGGGCTGGTCCTCAATTTTGATTTAATTCACACAGTTAAAGGTGATAGATTAATAGCTACCACAAATTGTCATTTTCTAAGCTGTGCTTGATGCTATGGTGTTGCTGATTATATCACTTGGGCCAAGGTGTTGATTGATCTAATCAGTTGTCCTTCCTGGTATAATGAAAATGAGACAGCCTCAGAGTCATTAGAGACTCAAAACCTAAAGACCAGCTACATCTGAAAGACACCTCTGAGAAGCAATCATTCTATAAGGGTTCTAAATGCAAGCAACAAAGTTACTTACAATAAGCTATTTTGAAGTATCAACCCATGAATTAAACCAAGGACATTACCAAAAACAAAAATGAGAAGACATTTAAGCAAGGCACAAACACAGACTTCCACCCCATCAAAGGCAAATTCTGGGGGAAACAAGGTGGAAAACTCTGATAATCAACCACCTGGACACCCCGAACTGATAGCACAGGAAGTAACAACACAGATGAATGAGGCTTGAGAAAAATTCAACAGAGAAATAACTTCTCAGATAACTACAGAGATGGTGAGCAGAGTGAAAGACATGACTAGAGGCTCTAGAACAGAAACAAATAAAAAAAAATAGATGAGCTCAGAAACATGCTGGAAGCCATGAATGCCCAGCATGAGAAAGAAAAGGAAATCATGATCACCCGACATAAGAAAGAAATGAAATCCATGAAAAAGATTCAAACAAATACACAGGACATTAAAAACTCCATTGAAAGTATTCATAGCAGACTAAGAGAATGTGAAGATAGAATATCAGATACAGAAGACAGGATTGTGGTTAGTGACCATGAAAACAGAGATTTCTTAAAAATAGTAAGGGACCATGAGAAATCAATTCAGCAGCTGCTAGATGATGCAAAGAAGAATAACAAGACTGATAGGAGTCCATGAAAAGGAGGAGAAAGTACAATTGACATAAATAAAACTGTTCACAGAAGTAATAGTAGAAAACTTCCCAGACAGAGGTAGAGAATTGGACATAGAGATAAGTGAGGCATATAGAACTCCAACTAGCCATGATGAAAAAAAAATCTACACCTAGACGTATAATAGTCCAGATCCCAAAAACCCAACAGAAGAACAAAATCCTACAGGCAGTTAGAGAAAAGAAACAAATCACCTGAAAAGGAAAGCCCATCAGAATCACAGCAGACTTCTCAACACAAACCCTCAAATCAAGGAGAGCCTGCCTGGAGTGAAGTATTTCAAGCCCTAAACCTAGACTGTTGTATCCTGCAAAATTATCTTTCAAAATTA